TAAGAGAAAAAATGAATAAAAAAATAAAAGTTCTCGTTCGGAGTGAGCTTGTGTGTGTTGGTCTTCCTTTCCATGATGGAGCGAGTTGCTCTTGGCTGGGTTCCAAGGCAATCTGGAAGTTTCTTCTGGGGGGTATCAATTCAGCAGGGGAAAAAAAAGAGGGGATACCCAAAAAAAGAATACATACAAGTATGCATTGTACATATATTTTATATGTACAGAGAGCACAAAGAGAAAAGGCGATGCGAATGAATGAAATGTCGTGGAAGGGGGGGGGGGGGAATGTGCAGAAAAAGAAAATGACGGGATGTGATTGTTACTGAAAGCTTCGAGAGGAGAGAGAAAAAAAATCGGTTGTGCTTTTGACGTGCATTGAAAGTTTTTGGCTTTTTTTTATCGTGCGGAATTTTGCGAAATGTTNAACGCGCTTTTTTTTTCTCTCCCCATTTCGCGTGTAATGCATTTGTACCTGCACCGACAATCGTAATCCTCGAGAGAGAGAGAAGAATGAAGGCTCTTAACTTCTCAAGCACGTTCTTGTCGAGTGGGACGAATGAAAAATAAAGAAGGATGAATGTTAATTTCTTTTTCTGGGGTTTCTCCGAATGCGTTCTTTTGAACCGACTTGCTTCAAGGAGGAACCCGAGATCAAACGAGGAATAACATGATCTACATGCCGGCATTTTTTTTTTCTGGCCTTGGCAAATTTAATATATATATTTTTATGCATGGTATCTCGGAATGAAAAGAACCGGAATTAGTCCACGTGCTTTTTTTTTGCATGATTTTCAGCTGGCTAAAGGGCACGGTTTTTTAATAAAAATATCTATGAGATGATTTGTACCTGCACCCTGAATGGATGCGAAGGGGAGCGACGAGATAAAATTTAATCTTTAAAAATTAATTTTGAATTCTTCATGACTGATGAGAATCCATGTCAATTCAAACCCCGTGAAATGTTATCCATTATAAAAAGTGGAAATGGAACCGAATTTTCAGCATTCTGTTCTGTTCCTTTTTTTTGCGGGAAATTTCGCCAATTTTATTCTGAAAGCAGAAATTAAAACGGACTGGTGGCTGTTTAAATGCTGTATTTTACGTTGAAGGTACTGTACTTGCAAAGTACTGTTTTTAAATATTTTCGAGCAATATTTCGGGAAAAATAGCCGACTTAATAATGTCCATTAGTGAGCATCATGGATGGGCAAGTTCATCAGGTTTCCCTGGATCTCATTTAGTTGGGTAATTACTCCTGTTCCGCGCCCACATTTTTAATGCATCAATTTCATGATAAAATGCAAATATCTGTTCTCGTATTTTTTTTAAATGCCGTAAATATTTAATTGCCGTTACGAAGGGTGATCGAGAAATTATTTTTCAAGGTCATGAAATAAAGTTGATCCCAGCACAGCACCTTGATTGTTTTGATTAATTAAATCCCAACTTGTCAAGGGATCAAGAAGGAAACTTTAAGTGATCTTTTCTTCGTTTTAAAATAAATCTTCATCGAAGTTTATAATTCTCTCTTTGCTTGTCTGAATTTTTGGACGACCCCTTCACATTCTTTGAATCTACCATTAAAATTGCGAAAGTCCACTTTTTTTTTTTTAATTGAAACATTGTTTTTAAATTTTGTGACATCACTGAAGACTGATATTGAACTCGTGCCTTAACAGATTTTAATCTGGGTTAAGGAAATTTTATAATTTTTTAGGTCAGGAAATATTGAAAGGTTCGCGATTTTTTTTTTTCAAAATCTTATCCTCTTATTTGATTCTACCATGCACCATATAAACCATGAGAAAAATATATAAATGGAGGAAGGAAGGAAGGAAGAAATAAGTAAGTTTATGGTTTTTAGAAACGAAAAAGGTCGAATTGGGGGAGACATCTAGAAATCGTAGTACAGTAGGAGTGGTACAGTATTTGGAGTGGTGTCTTTTTGAGCTGTGGGTCAGGTCATAAAGTATCATTTCTTCCTTATCTTTTGTGGGCATCCCCTCCCCCCCTTATGTAAGCGAAACTGACTTGACCTGACTTGTGACTTGTGACGTGACGTGTGTGTTTGTCGCGAGTGACCTTAGGCGACGAATCGCTCGACTTTCCGGTCGGAGGATGACCTTTCCTTTTTATTCACTTTTTTTATATCTCTGCTTTGTCGGATTTATTTTATTTCTTCATCTTGGGTTTCCCCGGGTCGTTTTTTTTCTCGATATTTCCGGTGGGATGCATTTATTTGAAACCGGAAGAATGTTGCAGAGAATGTTTATTTTATTGAACTGGAAAATGTGACATCAGAAATCATGAGCGACTTCTGACTAATACAATATTTTTTTTTAGGAAAAGTGAGTCAACTTTTTCTGTTGAACAGATTGTCACAATAATTTTGTGGCAGTTCGAATCCTGATTTCTGATGTGAAATACTGTATTGGCAAAGGCTGGTTTTGTATTAGAATTTTCAAAGATGAAAATATAAATGATTGGAACATGAGTAGCATCAACAGACTCCCTCGTTTATAAAGAAGTTGTAAAACATAATAAAAGTATGTATATTTGCAGTAAAACTAGAGTTTAATTATTTTTCAATAGTTCAGATTGCTTTGAGTGAGAGAATCTTGAAAAAATAAATTCTGATGACTTTTTACGCAAAGATTTTAATTTTACCAGGTCTCATTTATTGGCAAGGTTGGTTTTCTCTTGTCGTGCATTCAGAAAAAAATTTATTTACTGAACCCTGAATATAATTTGTATACGGTAATCCTCTTGAAAAACTTGAATTCTTAATTTTTAATTGGTCATGGTGCGCGTTTTCTTGAATAGAGACATTTTTATGCGAACCTAGTTTTGAAACGGGGTCAAATTGGCGCAGTGGAATTTAGTCCACTGATAAGACAAAACGTGTGACTTCCGCAAACAAGGTTTTTAAAAAATATTCGACAACGTTCGACATTTTATCCTTATCGTCAAAAGTTTTGTGGCAAAGCAAATGTGACTCACTTCAAATGTGACGAATCTGAAAGCTTATCCTAAAACGCTTTTAAATTCTGAATTCTTGACGTTCTCGTTTTCAAAAATATAGCTTTGAAAATAATTTTCGCAAACTTTTTCTTGTGTTTTTCTCGTTTTTTTTTTTTTTTTTTTTAAGGCGGAGACGAAGGAAAACGTTGTTCCACTGTTTCCAGGTCCGAGCGTGATTTCGCAACTGATTTTAGTAATATTTATGCTAGTTCATTCGTTTCGGCATTTTCTTCGCTTCATCCCTCTGGAATTTTTCTTGCAACTTTGGAATATGGAGCGAAGATGTGAATTTTTTCTCTTCTCGTTTCTGAGGTTTTATTTTATTTTTGTGGAGGGAGGATGAGAGAAATATTCCTCATTCGTTCCGTTGCGTGTTCGGAATACAGCAACGTGGAACAAATTTTAAAAAATAAAATAAATAAAGAAATAACAGCGTTTTTCGTGTCGCTGGTTTTTTCATGAACAATTTTACTTTTTCCGCATTTTGTTTGACATAAAAACATGGCTTTTCCACCGACGATGAACAAAATCAAGCTCTGCAGAAATTCGTTGTAAAGGATTCTAAATTCTTGATGGATTTTTTTTAGAAGAGTTGAAGCTTCTATTTTATTTGTCAAATTCCAGGAAGGGCTTGAAATGTTTAGGAAATAATTGCAGGGTAGGGGACTATTTTGGCAGTGTCTTTTTTTTTTAGTCATCCTAGGTATAATTTGTGAAACGAATTTAATGCGCAATTCAGTTCCGTTTTTTAATATATATTTTGGTTGATTTCTCACACACGCACTTCATGTTTTTTTAGGATAAAGTTTGTGTTGATTCCGCTACTGATATCCGACTAATTAAATGGCGATTGATTAATCGATCGTTAGTGTTGCCACATTTTCCACGGTCTTGAATAGTGTACTTATAAAAGAAAAGATGCGGAACGAATTTTTTTATTCAAATTCTTGTTATTATTCCCCCACATTAATTTTATTTCCATTATGTAGTATAATTCTGCGAAGGAAATGCTCCTACTATAAATCCTAATACCTTTTTTGGCTGAAAATTATCAATACATTTTTTTTACCACTTTTTAGTTTTGGAGGAAAGTGAATTCTAAAATGACTATTATTGGAATTTTAGCTTGTCATATTTCCGAGCAATCTTGAAAACTTCTCAAGTCGTTATTGAAAAGAGGCAAAATATTCTTCTTCCTCTCTTATGCGAAGAGAATTTTGCGCCGTATTATGTTTGTCCACACAATGGAGCATAAAATTTCCAATTCCTTTTTTTGTTTTTGCTTGAAAAAATAATTGCAGGATTTCGTCTGATATTCTAAAAATCGTGTTTGAAAATTTCGCTTGTTGGAGAATTGTATTAGTATTGTCCCATTGCCGCGCGTTCTTGAATACCGCACAAACACTCTCTCCATCTCTCCTGACTCGCTACAACGAAATTCTCTCTAAAACGATTTTTTACTGGTTCCTCGAAGTTCGTTTTAGTCCGTCTGTGTTCAAGAACGCGCGAAAGTGCGACAATGCCAATATTCCACGAAAAGCAATGCTGAAATGAAGTGAAATTTTGAGAAAATCAGAAGGAATCCTGTAATAATTCGCACAAGCTACCGCAGAAGATTGAGTTTTTTTCATTCTCAATTATTACAGTAATTCGTTACAGAGAAACCCCAATAACAGAGGAGAGAACGAGTGTGGAACCAAAGAAGAATTCATTATGCAGAGAAAATCGTTTGTAGACCGGATTCCTGTCTTTCTAAAACTGTCAGCCAAGTGAAATAAGTTTCATTCCCTGCTCTTGCCTCCCTTTCTTTCTCTCTCTCTTTCTCGTGTGAAAATAAATCTTTGAATCAATGCATGAAAAATGAGGATTGGGAAGACCCGCATTGCTGACGGGGTCGTGTTTTTTCTTTTTTTTTGCGTGACGAACTTGTTTCACGGGTTGCATGCCACGTGGGGTTAGAAAAAAAAAGAAAAACGAGAAAAATGGTGGCGGCGTTGAGGTGATGACGGCGCCAGATGTGGGTCGATATGCGGGAACACATAACATCTCCAAGGGTTTCTCCTCCCCATCTTCCAAATGCGGTTTAAAGCCGGCTTGAAATTTTTCATTTTATTTTTTAGATTTGGTATATATATATGTATATTTGGGAGGGGGGGGGGGGGTTGGAATCGTGTTTCGCACTCAATTGACATGCTTCTCGAGGAACTGTCGCCTTCCCAGCACAGAATATCTTGATGTCGAGAAGAGTTGTGTTTATATATGATTTTACTTTTGGTTGGAGTATACAGTGATTGGAATTAATTTGTGGGTGCCTCGATTAGGGAACAGGATTAATTTTAATGGGAAGTCGGATATTCGAAGGGTCTGTTATTATTATTTTTTTTTATTACAGTCGAACTTCAAGGGACCAGCAAAAAATTCGACTTAGGGAGGTTTTGAATTGATGCTAGCATGCTACAATACAAAGCCCCTTTTGTATTGGGAAACATAGAAAAATTGCTGAAAATTGTGATTGTGTTATTCTGAGGCTGAAATTACTTCTTGAATGAGTTGAAAGCATCCTGAACTTGGAGGCAGGGTTCATTTGCCCAATTAAGTCTCTCATCTACTTAAAAAAAATCAATTTATGTTATCATTGTTTTTTTTCTTGTGTCAAGAAAATAAAAGCCAACAAGCCACAGAAAATTCGACTTATAGGGGGTTGAGGGGAAAAGCCTTCGATTTACGGAACTTTTAAATGTACAATATTAATTCTAAGGGGTTTCAGACAGGACCTGAAAATAATTCAACTTAGGTATGCTACTTGTCGCGATTTAGGTACTTGTCGCGATGCTAACATTTTGAAAAAAAAAAGAATCGGGAGGAGAATTTATTCGATTTTAATGAATGCGATTGATTACAATGTTTATCTTTATTTACTTTATGCACGAGGAGCCGCGAAGCGTGAGTCTGAATTAAAATAAAATTGCGGTATATTGAATTTAGCTTTGATCGTGGCAAGATTTAGGCGACGACGAATGTAGCAGGTGAAAGAAAACAAAAAAATTGTGGACTTTGACACTTGCCGCGATTTTACGGTTTTGAGAAATCGCGAGTAGGCTAATTTCTTTGATTGATTGATTGATTGTAATTTTTAATTTTTTTCTTTTAATATTCAAAGAGAGCCGCGAAACGTGAGCCTGAACAAAAAGAGCTCTGGCCTGGGCTTCAACATCGTCGGCGGCGAGGATGGCGAGGGCATCTTCATCTCCTTCATCCTGGCTGGTGGGCCAGCTGATGCCAGTGGGCACCTGCGCCGCGGGGACCAGATCCTGGCCGTGAACGGGGTCGACCTCACGGCGGCGACCCACGAGCAGGCGGCGCTCGCGCTCAAGGGCGCCACTGGCAACCGCGTGGACCTCCGCGTCGCCTACCGACCCGAGGACTACAACCGCTTCGAGGCCCGCATCCACGAGCTGCGCGAACAGATCATGTCTGGCACGCTCAAGCCCTCCCAGAAGCGATCCCTGTTTGTCAGGTACGTCTTTCTCTCTTTATTTTTTTTTTTTTTTTTTTAGCCCTTCTGCGGCAAATTCGGACTTTTTTTTTATTGTTGCTGATTTTGGTTGCATGCACTCAAGAGTGGAATTTAAAAATAAAAAACCCTAACAGTGTGTGCAGGGTAAAGTTGGGAAAAATCCTGACATATTTTTTTTTTAATTTTCCACACAAACATTTCACCTGAAAATGAAAAAAAAATAAAAACTTTCAGGCTCCCTTTTTTTTCCCGGGCCTTTTGTTGTTTCCCCATCAATTCAAAGATTAAATGTAAGCTTGAAAGCCAGTAGCCCAGGTTAGAGGTCAATATAGAAAAAGTCCAACTCAGGACTTTCCCAGCATTTCTTTATCCCTGGATAAAATCTGACTTTGCCCTCCCCCACCTGGCAGGGGTTGCATAACCTTGTGCAAAAATATAATACAGGGTGGAATTAAAAAAAAACCTCAACAGTGTGTGCAGGGTAAAGTTGGGAACAATCCTAGCATTTTTTTTTTAATTTTTCACAGAAAAATTTCACCTGAAAATGAAAAAAAAGAAAACTTCAAGGCTGCTTTTTTTCCCTCTGGCCTTGTGTTGTTTCCCCATCAATTCAAAGATTAAATTCAAGCTTGAAAGCCAGGAGCCCAGGTTAGAGGTCAATACGGAAAAAGTCCAACTCCGGACTTTACCAGCATTTCTCTTCATCCATGGATAAAATCTGACTTTGCCCTCCCCCACCTGGGAGGGGTTGCATAACCTTGTGCAAAAATATAATGCAGGCCCATTGGGAAAAAGTCCAACTTTGCCCTGGGATGGAAAGGAGGATGCTGCTGTCCAAGGGTTAATGCTGTACATCACAAGCAGGGTTGGACCAGTGGCTGTCTGTTTGAAATTTTCTCTGGCATAATAAATTTGTCAAGAGCAATAGCAATGAAGTCTCCTTATCTTTATTTAAAATGTTGGGGAGACAAGGGCAGTTGAAAAATTTATCTTAAGAAAAATGAAAGTTTGCTTTTCTGTTGATAAACACTTCAGGCACATTTTGACTTGCTGAAATCTCTTCCTGAGAAAAACCATTCTTCAAGCCCATCTTTCTATTTTTTTTTTAATGTCATTTGGTTTTATCCGCTTCGTTACTCCTCAACTTAATTTTTTTGTTTGCAAAAAAGCCGTAATTATTTAAAAACCTTTCAAGTCTTACAAGCAAAGATGTTTTGAGGCTGCACAATTTTTATGAAACTTGGTTGGCCAGCAGAAAATTTGCTGGTCTGCAGGAGCACTATCACTCCAGCCTTTATGAGTCTGAACTTCAAGGGACCAGCAAATTAATTTAATTAACTTGAGGTGATTTTTTGAGAGTTGGGGAATTGAGCAATTTGCAGATGAGGGAGAAGGGTTTAAGAAAGAAGAATAACAGAACATTACCTCAATAACTCAAACCTCTCCAAGTCGATTTTTTTTTTCAAGTCCCCTTTGGAATCCCATAAGAAACTAAGCGTTAAAAGCCTCTAACTCAAAAGTTTTTCCTCTTGAACCTTTTCATTTGTTTATTTTTTCTTTACACAGGAAAGAGAAAAGCAGTTTAAAAAAAAGTAACTTGATGTGTTTTGAAAGGAAAAGAGAGGCTAATTGGGCAAATAAACCCCTGCCTCCTGGTTTAGCATCATTTCAATTCATTCAAAAAGTAATTGATGGCCCAGAAAATCACCAGTAATTCTTCTTTCATTCCCACAACAAAAATTTTTGTTTCCTGGAACTCTAAACCTCCCTAACTGGAATTTTATGGTGGTCTCATGGAATTCAAGTTTGAGAGATTTGACTGTACTTTAATTGGTTATTCTCTGTATGGGCCTGGAAATTGCTTCTCAAATGATTTGAAAAAATGCTGAAAGGATTTGAGTTGTCAGGTTGCTGGAGCTGTGCAACATTTTTATTAATCAAAATCTCAATATTGCAGAATTCTGCCTTTAGTTCATTACATTTAGTTTAAATTTGTAGAAAATTCTAATGGCATTCATGCTTCTTCAACTCATGCAAACCAGTGTTGTAATGAATTTTGAAGATTTGTGTCTAAGGAGTTTTTAATAAAAATTTGAAATTACATTGTATCAACAAAAATATTGTTTTAAAAACATTTTATTTCCTCATCATCATTGGTCAACATGGGAAAAACTCAAGTTGCATTAACTTTGAACCTCTTTCAGTTGAACTTCAAGAGGGTACCAGCAACAAATTTGAGTTACAGAGATTTCGAGTGAGAGAAACAGGTATTTTTTTCTTTGAGAAAGAAAGGAAGAATTACAGGATATTATTGATTTTCCGGGCTTTGGATGGTTTCTTTAATGAGTTGACAATATGCTGAACTTGGAGGCAAGGGTTCATTTTCCAAAATTAATCTTTTCATTTGCCTTTGAGAATGCATCAAGTTACTGTGCATATTTTTATTCCTTTTTTTTTCTTCTTTCCTGTGTCGATAATTATAAAATCTTCGACCAGCAAAAAATGTTTCGAGGTCGAAGGCTAATTGTTTTTGCTCCAGTAAATGTTGGCAAGAAACGTTAACGTTTCTCACGAGATTTTGGCATCACGTCACGTCACGTCAGTCACCGTCGCTTCCATTTGTCCCGTTCCTCTGACGTAATTTTCCCCGCATGCATCATCCATGAATTTGTCCCCTTTTCATGATCACAGAAATTTATTTTTGACAAGACAATACAGTAAAATATGAACAAGTATTACTTCCCAGCCCACTCGATGTTGCTGGAATTATTTCGAACGTGAGGCTATATAAAATCCCGAAGCTCAACCAAACGAGGTTTTTAATCCGTAATATCCTGCGATGAAAAAAATTAATTACTAGGAAATACTTGGGATCTGGAAAAATGAGGTACTGTTCATTGATTTAAAAGTCGTTGTAATAATTCGTATTTGTCATCAAATGAAATTGCTAAATCAGAAGGAAGTCATGAGGACCTGACGCTTCAACGTATTCTTAAAAATTCGGTTCGTTGAACATCAGGGAACGCATTAAAAGGCTTGTGTATTATTGGTGTTTGTGGTACGTTTCGAAAAAGTATTTTCAAGCGAAAATCCTCTATAAAGTTTTTTGCATGGAAATTTTACGGAATTTACGAAATTCTTGTCAGTAGATAATTTTAAAAAATTAAGTTTTAACGTGTTTTGTTGCGCGAAAATTCTTCTAAATTTACAAATTTCCTGAAAAAAAGCGAATAAACGTACAATATTTGACATTCGTTGGTCCATTAAAAAATGACATTATCTCTATACGGTACGTTTGATGGCAAAAATATCGTATTCGTAAAAATATAAATGCAAAAAATCTCGTTACAGCGAAGCCTTTAAAGGGCCATTATAAAGCTTCCTCCTGGCAAAAAGCATTCATTATGAAGAAAATCCAAATAGTGTATTTTAACTATTGGACAAAGACCTAAAAAAAACACGGTAGGAATTCATTGTAGCAAGATTATCCTGTAATGTGCAGCATTTTTAACTTTTTGAAAATGTGTTTTCTTTTCCAAAAGGGCGTTGTTTGACTATGACCCGCGGCAAGATGACGGATTGCCGAGTCGTGGGCTTCCGTTCCAATATGGCGACATTTTGCACGTGACGAACGCCTCGGACGACGAGTGGTGGCAGGCCAAGCGACTCCAGTCGTCACACATCAGGTTTTGGAAATTGCATTGATTGAAAATTATATGTATATTTTTTTTTTTAATTGAAAAAGAGCACTCATTTGAAAAGTAATTTATGTCAAGTCACGTGGTTCCTTAATGATTGATCGACGTTCGAGGCACCTTTTGTGATTTACCAATAAGGCTCGCCTTTCACTGATTTTTAGAGGCTTTTCAAAATTACTTGAAAATTCCGGTTGTGGCAAAAAAGGGAAATTGAGAATGAAACCCCAAAAACTATATTTGAGTACTAGATGTTTGTGGCACTAACGCAGGCTTCTATTTTTTTCTTGCATTCAAATATTTGCAGCGGTAATGATAAAAATTTAATTTGTTTTCCTCTGGATTAGTTCTATAAAAAATAATTATTAGGAAGAAATTCCATCGATATTTTTTCGAAAGCGGAATTTCCTCACTTTTTTTACCGTATTTTCATTGCATTTGTCTTTCTTGAAATCAAACTCCAACTGAAAAGATTCTCCGTTTATCAAAAATGAAGCAGGACTTTTTTCGTGTTTTTTAAGGATAAGTGACAATTTTGCGTGTGAGTCTCAACGTATTGTAAGAGAAATAAAAAGACTATTCTTCAAAATCAGTTGACGAAATTCATCACAAAGGAATGATAGACTGTACTGTTTTTTTCATGAATTTAGCCCTGGTCCTTCAGGATTTTTTTTTTTATACGAAACCATGTTTTGTTTTTAATCTGCATCCCCCTGACGTTCCTCCTTCACTGGCTGAAATGGATTAAAAAATTGTAAAACGCTGAAAAATGTCTATTTGCGGTATAAAAAAGGATAAAGATGGTTTCTAACTGCTATGGGGGTATTTGATCAACATGGTACAAAACTGTAATTACAAAATTTAGACGTAACTAAAGCACGTAAAAAAATGTTTACATGATGAAAAGGAAGCATGCGTTACGTAAGCCACGAAGGTATCAGCTAATCAACTAAATTCTATTGACGAAAGTCGCAGTGACGACTCTTCTCGTGTGTATGACCGTCGACCTGGTTTTGGAAAAGACCCTTGGTATTTCGTAATGGTGATCATTTCGATTTCTTTTTATTTATTTCTTTTATTTTTTCGTTGTTGGGGTATGCAGGAACGAGGGCGAACCGGAAATCGGGATCATCCCGTCCAAGAAACGCTGGGAGCGGAAGATGAAAGCCAGGGACAAGTCTGTCAAGTTCCAGGGCAAGGGCAGCAACGCCTCCTTGGTAAGAAGACGTGTGACACAGTGTATATATATATATTTGTGTTCGTTCAGTATCTGTGTATCTTGTTTGTTTTTTTTTTAAGCTTCTGTTTGTCTGTGTGTTTTGCTTCTTTTTTGTTTTTTTCTTCCCTGCGGATTTCGTTTTTCGCCCCGCTGCGGAAATTTCAGGCACTGATCCAATTTTTCTGCGGTTTCCAATGACGGGATAATACACTTTTGGTGTAAAGATAGGAAACATTTTTGAAAAGTTCCAGAAGCTCTTTGACATTTCATGAAAGCCGGTGGCCCCCCTTTTTTTTGGTTTTTAAAGATACTGTACTCGAAATGATATTTTACCGTGTTTCTGTAGAGACTGGAGAAATCATGACCCGATTTTTCTTTTCTTGAAGAAAAAAGCGCTGGACATTATCTTCGGAAAACATTCCAGTGGCTTCTGGAAATTCTTGTGTCACTAAAAAAAAATTTGCCTGTACGGAAAGGATAATTTTTAGCGATGCTTCTTGGTCTGAAAAAATTGTCAGTGGGTTAATTTCAATTTTAAAATAAGTTATTGTGAGAATGCAGTTAATAAATACCTGGAGCTTTTATTATTCAGCGAACCTTTTTCGAATTGAAGGAGAAAGACAATTTTTTCAGAAGTTCCGGAAGCTCTTTAAAACATTGGCATTTCGTGGATGCAGGCGGGCTTTTTAAATGCTTGAAATAATTGTGTAAATAGTTTTTCTAAAAACAAAAAACAGGCCATGTGATGATTGGTTCTCCGAATATTACTCGAGAATATCTCCGGAAGTTTTGTCAGTACCGTGCATAAACCTTGGAATACATCAATAAAATGGGACTTTTTAGCTTCAAAAAATTCGGAAACTTCGGTCTGAATTCCGAGTCGGAAGTCATAGAATTTTTCCGTAGAAAATTGTGGTCGAACTTGACCATCCAGACTCTGTAAATAATATTCTTTAATGTGTCTTGTTTGTCTTTTTTACAGTCGACATTGGAGAGGAAGAAGAAAAACTTCTCCTTCACCCGCAAGTTCCCGTTCATGAAGAGTAAGGACGAGCGAGGCGAAGAATGCAGTGACGGAGAATGTAAGCAGATGTCGCTCCTAAATAATCCATGTTCTGATGATTTCTTTTTGCGGTGCTACTGCTGGGCATGTGGCTTTGCTTCAGATTCATGCTGCGCAATTTTTTGTGGAAAGCAAGCAAAGGGACTTTTTTTATTTTGTTGCCTCAAAAATAACATCCTTTGGGGGGGGGGGGGGGTACATTGTGAGATGTTCTCATGTCACATTTTATAACACAGTCTTCGCGTGTTTCTTGTTCTTCCTTTTTGCTGCCTGGATGTCGTTGCCGTGTGAAACTTTCCGTGTGGCGTGTTTCCTGTTTAACCCGTGTGTGTCTCTTGCTTTTCTTTGTCTCTGGGGTGACGGTGAGATTTTTTTTTTTTTCGTACTATTATTTTGTGAGAATGTTGTGACGATTCAAGTCTTTTTCAGCTTATGTACATTTGAACCTCTCTAAGTTGAATTGTAAGCGACTGGCAAAAATATTTCGATTTCGAAAGCTTTCGAGTTAGGAAAACAAGCATTTTTTTCTTGTGGGGGGGGGGGGGGGAACAAATTACAGTACTGTATTGGATATTCTAATGAGTGATTTTCTGGGTCTTGAATTGCTTCTTAAATGAGTTGACAGGATGCTAAACTTGAAGGCAAGTGTTCATATACCCAATTAGTCTTCCACTTCCTTACAAAACACAGTGTTACTTTTTAAATTTATGTTTTGTGTGTCAAGATAATAGCTAAAATGGCTCCATGAAATTTGAGTTGTGGAGGTTTGTGAAGAAAACCCTTAGACTTACAGAGGTTTTAATGAATTTTTTCTAAGGAATTTCTGACAGGGACTTGAGACATTTTGACTTAGGGAGGTTCAAGTTATCAAAGTTCAACTATATATATATATAATCTGTCTTTTTTCATGTTTTTGCAGCTACTGTGATCCTGGCTACAGCTGATGGAGAGACTGGAAGTCTGAGTGAGTAAAACGTCTGATTATAAATCTATCAAATGTTCTACAGTACATGATGAAATTTTAAAATCCACTGAGAACCTTTTTTTTTTTACAAAAAATTTAAGTCTCACTTCGATCATTTACAAAATATAAAAGCTGCTGAAGGAGAAATGAATAGGTGAACACTTTTTGTTGAAAACTATACAGGTGGATTCTCTCTACAATGATCTTATCTGCATGTTAAAAGACACATTTCTTAAAAATAAACCAGGGTGGCCCAAATAAGAGAGGGGTACAATGTCTGACATATCTCCCAAGAGAAAGTTGTTTTAAGGTAGACAGTTCATTTAAAAGAAGAACAGGGACGAATTTTTTTGTGGTGTGTCCACCTGTATTTGGCATTTGGAGGTTAAACCTGACATGTACTGTATACGAAGTAAGCCATAATGAAGTAAGTGAAAATGCGGTTCCCCCAAGATGTGGATCATTTCCCGATTTCAAAGTGTCCCCAGTCCCAGAATTGTTGAAAAGCCCATTCTTATAGGCATTGTAGGTACTGTATAGGAGACGCATTCTTGGCAATCGAAATGAATTTTGTTTGATCGAAATGCGCAAGGTCTAAAAAAAACAGGTGGTGAACCTTCAATTGTAAGTTGTAATATGGCTTGAGCTATTTTAATACCTGTTGGGTAACGTAGTCTAGGAGTCTAGGAAACAAAGAAGCGCGGAGCTTGAGACATCTGTGTACCTGCCAATGAATCGTAGGCATTTTCTGAATGTCCGCTAGGCCGGTAGATGACGCTCTAATCCCAGCATAGCTTCAGTCCAACTCAACACCGAAAACAGTACAGTACTGTATTCCAGTTAATACCGATTACTGTAGTTCACCTGCTTATGATAATTTATGACTTTTTTTCCTTCAACTACTTTTGAACTGGTAAGAAAAGCACAAAACGTCTCCTCCTGACCAGCGACAGCATGCTCTCGCACAGAGTTTGGGTTTAGCTGATGCGCGCCGGGCAGTAACAGGACCCGGCGCTGAAGGACCGCATCAATGACGACCTCATTTCCGAGTACCAGGACAAGTTCGGGTCGTGTGTGCCACACACGACCCGACCCAAGCGCGAGTACGAAGTGGACGGACGAGACTACCACTTCGTCACCAGCGCGCTCGTTTACCTCGCGCTGTAGGTCTTGGTGAACAAGTAGCTCCGGCCGGTCATGTTACTGTTGAACATGCCGTGGAGCCAGCGGAGACAGTTCCTCCAGCGGGTTTTCCAAAGAAAAAAACTCACCATTCATTCACTGGTTCATTTATTAGTGGGCTCTCTGTACAACGAAATTTCAAGAGACCTGGAAAAGAATTCGTTGTGGAGAACCCCATGGGACCACCAAAAAAAAAAAAATCGTTGAAGGGAGACCCAACCTGTGTTTAGTTGAACTTTTATAACTTGGTCATCCTTATGTTGAATTTCTTTTCAAGTCCCTGTCTGAATTTCTGTAGAAATAATGCGTTAGAAGCCTCCTTACTCGAAGTTTTTCTCTCCCTCCCCCAAATCTCTAAAACTCGAATGTTCTAGTCATCTAGTAGAATTCTGAATTTCATTTTTGTGACCCAGGAAATGAAAATGTAACAATGTTTTTTCCAAGGAAGTAAAAGACTAATTGGGTACAATGAACCCTTGCCTCCAAATTCAGCATTCTATCAACTTCAGTACAGTTTTAAGCAAA